TTGCTAGAGGGAATTATCTGCTAAACAACTAATTTAATAAAAGGCTTGTTGCTTTTTATATTTGCAAAATTGTGTCAATATAGAGGACTCCACCATCTTTTCCATTAATGTGTAAGAAGGTGGCTAACAGTAACAGAAGTGACGTGACCTCTCCAACTGGGAACATGGTGTCCAGTGGGTAGAGTGATAGTACATACTGTGCCTATTCTGTCTTTTAATTGGAGACCTTCTAACTAAATAACATGAGGTTTTTTTTCTTAGAAATGTCTTTACTACAAGTGTCCTCTTTTTTCAGGTTTATTGAGATATAATTGACATATAGCACCATATAATTTTAGGATGTACAGCATAGTGATTTGACTTATATATATCATGAAATGATTACCACAATAACTTTAGTTAACATCCATCATCTCATATAGATACAAAAAAAAAGAAAAAGAAAAAAATTTTCCTTGTGATGAGAACTCAGGATTTACTATTTTGACAACTTTCACATATATCATACAGCAGTTAAATATAGTCATCATGTTGTATATTACCTTGTTCATACTGTTTATCTTATAACTTGTACCTGTTAACCACCTTCCTCCAATTCCCTCTTCCCCCAACCCCCGCCTGTGGTAACTGCAAATCTGATGTCTTTTTCTATGAGTTTGCTTATTTGTTTTTAGATTCCACATATAAGTGAAACCATACAGTATTTGTTTTTCTTCTGTATGACTTATTTCACTTAATGTAATGCCCTGAAGATCCATCCGTGTTGTTGCAAATGACAGGATTGCCTCACTTTTATGGCTGAATAATATTCCATCATATATCACAACTTCTTTATCTATTTATCCATAGATAGACACTTAAGGTTGTTTCCATGTTTTAGCTATTGAAATACTGCTGTGAACATGGGGGTCCAGATATCTTTTTCGACAGTGTTTTCATTCCTTCACATATATTCCCAGAAGTGGGATTGTTGGATCATATGACAGTTCTAGTTTTAATTTTTTGAGGAGCCTCCATACTGTTTTCCATAGTGGCTGTACCAGATTTACAATCTCATCAGCCATGCACAAGGGATCCCATTTTTCCACAGCATTTTTTATCTCTCACCTTTTTGATGCTGGCCATTCTAACAGGTGAGGTGATATCTCATTGTGGTTTTGATTTTCATTTCCCTAAAGATTAGTGATGTTGAGCAATTTTTTTGTGTACTCATTAGCTGTTCATATATCTTCTTTAGACAAATGTCTATTCAGGTCTTTGGTCCATTTTTAATTGAGTTGTATGAGTTCCTTGTATGTATTGGATATTAACCCCTTATCAAACATATGGTTTGCAAATATCTTTTCCCATTTCATAGATTGTCTTTTCATTTAGTTGATGGTTTCCTTTGCTGTGTAGAAGCTTTTAGTTTGATATAGTCCCTCTTGTTTATTTTTGATTTTGTCGTTTGTGTTCTTGTCATATCAAAAAAAAAAAAATTATTGCCAAATCCCATGTCAAGGAGATTTTTTTGTGTATTTTCTTCTAGGAGCTTTATGGTTTCAGGTCTTTCATTTAACTTTAAGTCTTTAATCCATTTTAAGTTAATTTTTGTGGGTAATGTAAAATAAAGATCTAGTTTCATTTTTTAATACAGGAGATATTTAGAAGCTTGAGATTGGCAAGAACTACAGCTTGTTTATTATGACTGTGAGGATTGGTATTGTTTTAGAGAATTTGCTTAAAGCATTATTTTCTAATATTCTTTGACAGACTTTCCTGCCAATATCAACCACCCATTTAAAATTTTTTTAGTAGTAGGGTAGTGGTATTCCTTACCTGTGAGCATTAGGGCCCTATTATGGGGAGACTGTAAGTTATTTTCTGTATTTCAAAAGCCTATCAGAAATCATGCACTATAATGTGCATATATAAGCCAAAAGGACTACATAGGCCAAAATGGCAGGTTACTTTTTGCTTTGGACTAGGAATTGCATTAACCGTTAGTGAGACTGATAGTATTTATCGTTCAAATATATCTGGAAGCCTTCCCTAACATCCCCAAAGATGAGCTGTGACTCTTCCCTGTATATACATCTTTCACTTCACTTCCCATATGATATTGACAGGAAGGATTTCCATATAAGTTTCTCTCTGAAGTATAAACCAGAAAGCATTCATTCGAAAAGAATGGTCTTCCTACTTTTCTTCAAACTTGTTCTTACCCTCAGGACCTTTCTAATCAGCTATTTCATCTGCCAGGATTGTTCCTACCCCAGAAATTCAAATGGCTTGCTTCCTCCTTAAAGTCTCAGCCTTAGATAACACCTTCTCCACCATCTCCCATCCTGGTTTGTTTTCATCACAGCACATTACTCCCTTACATCTTTGTGTTTATTGAAAGTTCGCCATACTAGTCTTGAAGTTTCATGACATCAGGGACATTGCTTATCTTCTCTGCTGTATTCCTAGTGACTAAGAAAATTCTAGACAATAGTAGGTGTGTAATATTTGAAGAAATTTTAGAGTTCTATAATAGCCTCTTGTGATGCTGGGGTTAAAGGAAATAGTCAGCCATGATACCTATCTCCAGATTTTGTACTTCTTATAGTCTTGTTTATTGGGAGCCTAAACAAATCTGAAGTGATTTAAAACTAAGATAGATTGGATATATTTGTTATTTTGCTTTGAAATGTTTATTTGCCTTTAGCTACTTCATTTCTATGGGAAACAAACAATAAAATGCAAGATATTAGTAAATTATTTAACCTATTTGTTAGACATAAGAGGATATTCAAAATTATGATTCAGCTCCTCATTCAGCTCCTGATTGAGATAGGTTCTTAGAAGTGAAGTAAAATTTTCTTAGATCACACTTAATAAATGATAGGGTAGTATTTTAGGCCAGTGTTCTGGCTCTAAGTCCAGTATTTTTTCTAGCTGCTGGATAATTTGAAAATAAAATATTCAAAAATATTCCCGTCTACATTCATGCCACCCCAAGCAAGCCTGATCCCATCTGATCTCAGAAGCTAAGCAGGGTCGGGCCTTGTTAGTACTTGGATGAGAGGCCACCTAGGAAGACTAGGTGCTGTAGCCATAAAAAATAAAAATAAAAAATAAAGGATTGTAAGCTAACAAGGTCCTTGCAGTCTGTGAGGTCAACCAAGGGTTGCCTCACCTAAAATATATGTATATATATTCCTTATTAGAATAAGATTTTTTTCCATGTTGTTTCTCCATATGGAAGCATCATCTATCTGTATGTATGTTCTGAAAGTTATTATACATAAACTGGCTTCTGATGATTTAGAAGATTTTATCACAGAATTATCTTTTTCTTTGGTTTGGATGTGTAATTTTAGTTGTGAAATATGTCAAGCATGCGGAAAAGTGTAGAATAATGTAAAAGACTTCTGTCTACCACAGAGAATAAAAAGATACTAACATTAAAAAAAAAAACAGTCATGCATGAACCCTGCCTTTGTGTTATTGTCCTTTTATTATAGAAAATTGTAGCATGCTTGACACATAGTAGGCACTCCTGATAGGTATTGAACTTGTCAAATGACAAAACTAAAACAATTTTGTAACAAATTTGATGTCCTTTATTCAAGGGAAAGCAATCCATGGATTGGGGAGTACATTGCCCCATAAGCAGTGGAGCACACTTCTCAAGTAATTTTGGGCAAGAGTGAGTTTTATAGGGCATTAGAAGAGACAATGTGGAAACAGCATGATTGGCCAAGAGGTGGGTGATTTCCTTATAAGGTTAGCAGGTCCTATTTTCTAGGGTAAGGTAAGCTAGCTAAAGGTGAGTTGGAGAATTATGATGGGTGTATGTTAGGTTTCCTTGACAGGTATTTCCCGTAAGTGTAGGCTGACATGTTTAGATTTGTGATGTGGACTGTGCCACTAGCATGACCTCCATTTTCTAGATCCTGATATACAAATTAACTATCAAATGGCAAAGAATCTGTAATTGGCAGTTACATATGTCTGATTCAAGTAAGAAAATTAATTACTTGACTTTTTAATATTCACAGATACACATTTATGAGTTACATACAATTAGTTGTAATTTGTAATTTTGCTCTGTTATTAAGGCATATTTATGCATGTGTTTAACACATAGGTCACTATGTGACAGACCTTATGCTAGGTCCTAAACTGACCCAAAAAACTCACAGCTTTGTTCAATAGAACAAATTATATGTATCCTTTGTTGTTGAGAAGAGGAAGCCCTTAACTGCTTACAGAAGTTGTGGAAGTGAAGGAAGGAAGGAAGGTCCTATAGAGGATGGCAGTTAGATAAAAAGGAGGTCATTAATAACTTTATTGCATAAAGGCACAGTGAAATGAAAGATTTTGTCAGGTTTGGGGAACTGCAAATCATAACATTGGATGAAAATAAGATAGTTCAGATGAGGTTGAAAGTAGGCAAAGGTCTTTTTACATAATCAGAAGCTTCAAAATTATTTTAACCAAGAATGTGTATGTAAAGCAAGTTTTTTGGTAGAAATTGCAGATCTTATACTTAGATATATTTAGGTACTTCAAAATATGCTTTTAAAAAGGCAACTTGTAAATAAAATCAGCTTATGAAGCACTAGTAAGTATAACATTAAAATAGATCTTTTTTGAAGACTTTAGTGGTATATTAGTTATAACTTAATGTTACCAAAATGTATGTAAAGATTCAAAAAATGTTATAGTGGTGAGGAGGAAAATCTTGATAGCTAGGTTGGAAATTTCATTAGTAACTGTACAGATCTATAGATAATACTCTATAAGTAAATATCGTGGGCATTTTAATAAGAATAGTTGCCAAAGTGTGCATATGTTTGCAGGGGAATGAATATTGCTTTAAAAAAATTAATGCCTTCCACTTCTGAAAAAAGGAGCAAAAAGAGATGACGCCTCTCACTGTACCACGGTGCCTCGCGGTTCTCTGGCTGCGGGCAAGGCTTGTTGGGCCTGCGCGGGGCGGAGCCGACGGTGACGTGCCCGTGCACCGCAAGGCATTGTGGGAGCTCGGGCCTGCGACTGAGGAGGTGGTTGGAGGCTAGGTGGGGGCGACCGTTTGTGTTCTCGTGGTCTCGAACTCGCGCGCTCTCTTCCCTACCCTCTCCCCCCCCTCCATCCCCCCCACGGCAAGCGGCGGGGCGGAGAAACGGCGGCGGCGGCAGCAGCGGCGGTTGTAACATCGGACACTCTCCTGTCTCCTCTCCGGCGAACCGGTTCCTCTTTCCCCTCCCTTTCACTGTTTGTTGTGTGTTTGATGTGTTAAAGCAGGAGCGAGAACGCGAGCAGCGCCATGAGCAACACTACCGTTGTCCCCAGCACTGCGGGCCCGGGCCCCAGCGGCGGGCCGGGTGGCGGAGGCGGCGGCGGCGGAGGCGGCGGCACCGAGGTAATCCAGGTGACTAATGTCTCCCCGAGCGCTAGCTCTGAGCAGATGCGGACCCTCTTCGGTTTCCTAGGCAAGATCGACGAACTGCGCCTCTTCCCGCCGGAGTGAGTATCGTCCACCATCGCCGTTTTTGCTAACTCCTCCCCAGCCTGGGCCTAACTACACCATTTCCTAGGCCCTTGTCGATGCTTCCTTGGACCAGGTTGCTTTGGCTGGCTGTTGCTTATATTTTTGCAAGTATCTGCATATTAGTCCTGCTAATAGTGCAGAGAGGCAGGGCCAGGGTTTGGAGGATTAGGAGACACTGGTTCTTAATCTCTGGACTTTTATTTCCCTTATATTGTGCCGCCGTGGTCGTTCTTTGGGCACTTAAAGCCAGACAACTGCAGTTTATGTATTTTGTGTATAGGTTAATCTAGTTTTTTAAAGAATCCAGTGTTTCTTTGAGTTCTTGGGAAATTAAAAATTATTCATTCCCATGTTAATTTGGTATTGAATTTTGTAGGCCGTGATTCACTTATTGCTGAGTATTGCTGTTCAGTGATTCTGGCCCAGTTAATACAAGTCAGTTAATATTTTTGACAGACAATGTATTTGGTGAACCTGAATACTGAATTTTTATCACAAAAGTGAGCTATAGCCGAAATGAAGGATTTTCTTTTGTTAAAAAAAAATGTATACATTTATGTTTTACAGTTGTTCTTAGAAGGAATTGTATAGATTGTTAAATTTTTAATTTAGAATGTATGGCTTTTTTTACCCTGTTTCACTTTTATTTTTATCGCAAAAGTATCAAATGAGTGGATTACTGTGAAGAAAAAAATTTAAGTATGAAGTTAAGATAAAATGTGGTAAATTAACGGCCAATAAATTCGGTACCCACTGAGTTTTTTGATGTCACATAAGAACTAAACAGGAAATTGAAATCCTCAAGGAATCCACTGTTTTTGGTGGATGTGATAAATCATTAATCTATGTACATTTGTACACCAAAGTAATTAATAGAATTTGATTATACTGTGGTATTTGTTAAGTATTCCCGTATTTCAACATTTCTTACATAAAATATTTTCAGATGATTCTTACTGTTTTCAGATTGTTGTGTTTTCAATTTTTAGGGGAATATACATGCCCCTAAATTTGCATGAAGTGTGGAATTCTTGGATCGTGTTTTCTTTGTAGTTATTTTGAATGGACATTTGACTTACTTTGATAATGAAGGACATACAGCTTTCATGATATGAATGTGTAGAAATAGATGTTTTGCTGTTACTCAGTCTTTTCGCAACATACTCTTCATTATTAGAAAATTAATAAACAGTAAAATGGTGGAAAATGAGAGTGACACATTTGATTATTGTGATCATGTTATTCAAAGTATTTGAGATACTAGATTTATTTATAAAATAATCATTTCCAGTCCCACAAGTTAAGAATTCTGTTAGAGTTGCTGACTTCACAGTACTTTTTTTATTTCGAAGATGCTCTTTTTATGATTCATTTATAAAAAAAGATGACAGAGGTGTAGGCAGTTTACTGGTTCCTCTTTTACCTTATGCATGGTCAGGATCTTAGAGGGAGTCACTATGGACCAGAGTATGGCTTTTTGCTTTGTAATCTGAGTAGTTTCATAACAACCAGGGTAATTGATGTGCACCAGATAACATGATCTGTTATACTGTGCATTAAGAGGACTGCTTTCCCTGTATTGGAAGAAGGAGATAAAAATTAACACCTTTTTGCTCTTTGACTCCTTCATATGTGTTCCCACATGCACACCATTTTCTCTTCTGAAAATGTACGGAAGTTACACTATAGTGAATGTTATATTACCATAGTGGTCTTCCTGAATTGAATACTTATGTAACGTCTACTTTTGTTTATTTAATGTTGATTTTGTTGCTAATTTTAAGTGACAATAACTAACCTGACCTACACAATTTGGAAATACTTTGTTGGCAATTTCTTTAAGCTTGCTACAATTTTCAACACTGGCTCTCTGGAGATGATGTACTACCCAGTCTTAGTAGTCCAAAAGGGTTCATTTTACTCATAGAATAAGATTGAGTGGCTCAGATTACATAAAATTCTGAATATTATAAACACATTTGCCACTTGATATTTTTCGATATTTTTAATGGGTGTGTGTGTGTGTGTGTTTTGAACCCCAAAAAGCATTATGTCCACCTGGAATTATTCTCCTAGATAAGGCCATGACATGCTTGCTTCCTTTTGTCACTCAAATGTTAGAGAAGCCTTCACATTATCACCCTGTATTAAAAAACAACAACAAAAAACACACAACACCCCTGCTTTTCTGTATTCAACTTAATTACATTGTTTTTCTCTACAGCACCAATCAGTAACTGAAGAGTAAGTTCATCTCTCTTCCTCTTCTAGAATATGAAGACCCTTGGGGTTGTCATTGTAACCGGGGGTGGGGGAGGGGCATTTTAAAAGTACATACATGGCTGAACCCCTGCCTATTTGGGGGATGGGGAGGAATACTGGGATTTGAGATTGTGCCAAACATTTCAGTGACAACTGAAGACCTTCCTCAAGAAGGTTTCTCTCCTTGTTTTATTATTGAATTCATCTATTTCTTAGTTCTTTTAAGCCAAAAATTGCTGGCCTATAATTTCAGCCATTGATAATACTGTCTTTCTGCACAACAGATATTATTCTGACCTCTTCAGTATGACAACCCTATAGTGATTTGAAAGTTTGTCAGTGTTCCTCTTATTTATTGTCTTTTAAAAAGAAAAACAGTTACTTTGATTCTAGTTGTTCCTAAAGTGCATATTGGAAATTCAACATTGTGTCTATTATATACTACATGCTTTATTTTATTTTAGTCCTTACAAATCCAGAGGAAAAATGTATTTTACCTTGTCTCACAGATGGGTGAACCGAAATTCATATAGGTGGTTTTGTAGACCAAAGCCACTCTGCCATTGTCAGACCTAGGATTTGAACCCCAATTTGTGAACCCTTTTACTACTTGATCATGATTTTGATTTAGCAACTTGCGAGTGGAATCTCTTTTACACTTAGGTATTCTTCAGATACTTAATTTTAGTGTGATTTCATAATGAAAAATACAACTGGAGTGTTTATAGGGTAATGATCTCAGTGAAGCATATGTCAAAGTTATGCAGTAACTAAACTGAATAAAAGCACAGTGAGGGAGAGGGCATCTGAGGTCAACAGGGTCAACTTTTTAGGTGAATGGTACCTTTGTTACATACCTGCTATTTTTGGGGAAGGCTTAAGAGATGCCTTTGTTTATAAGCTCAAAATTATCAGTAGCGGTTAGCACACTATTAAGGTAGAAAGTTGAAAGCATGGTATCCATGGCCTAAACCAGAAGCTCTCATATTTTAATGGGCACAGATTTCAATTGTGGATCTTGTTAAGAATCAGAGCCCTCCTATATAGAGGATTCTCAGATTCAGTGGGCATCAGATGGAAAACAAATCTGAATTTTCTATGTACATCTCAGAAGATTCTGAAACAACCCTTAGAGGACATTTAAAGAAACATTAGAAACAACCACCACTCTTAGGTTAAGGCAAAGCATACAGAGCCCACTTTTCCTATCTTGCTCCTTAGCTCATTTCAACTCCCAGCCTCATTTATATTGTCAAAGATAAGGAGTAAAGACTTAACATTTTTAGAAGTGCTACTTGCACAAAATTCTGAGGTATGGAAATTATATTCAGACATCAATTCTCTATTTTACATTAACATGTCTTATTGATAAGTTTTAACTGAGAAAACATAAGAGTATAATTGTGGATTTATAGACCTTTTGAAGTGGCGAGAGATGGATTATCTGCCTTTCTGAGTTGACTTACTGTGACTCTTTTCTCCATGGTTTTTAAATTATTTATCCTTTATCTTTACCTCATCACTTCTTGCAGCTTTGATTATAGCCCAAGTAATAATTGTAGCATTCTTATGACATGAGTGGGTAGAAAAAATAGTAATCATCTTAGATTACCAAGTAAATGAAAATACGTTATGAGCATGTAGGCAGTACTTTATAATTTTTTAAAAAGAATTGTTCATTATGTTTTTATTCTCTTAAGAACTAATATTTGATAGTCACTTTTTTCTTTTGGTCAGATGACAATAGACAGTGACAAATGGTAAGGGTCACTTTTTAAGAAATTTGAGTGCCTACTAAAGTGCATATGTTAGGTGTTAAGACTATAAAATTATAGCATTTAGAGAGCTTTTTCATTTAGTAGTGAAAGTATGAATGTCAGAAATACAAAGTGCTATATAGCTTTGGTACTAAAACTGCTGAAGTGGCATTCATTCCTCTACTCTCGGTGCAACATGGTTAAATTTGAGACCAGTAATACTTAACATTAAAAAACAGCGTCTACATTAAAAAATACTGTATCCTGTCAAAAACATTTAGCAATAAGCCTCTATAACAAGATGACTGAAATTCCATTTGGATATCTTGTCAACTTTGCTTTGAAGCTAGATTAAGCTCTGTGCTTAGTATGGGCAGTGCCTTTAGGTAAAGCTGTAAGTTCTGACGGGTTTGAATTCTCAGGTTATTTAGCTTCATGTTAGTCTTCATAAATAATTTCTTTTCATGTTAGTGCACAAATTAGTAGAACTTTTTTTCAGCAAATACTTCACTGAAATACCTAATGTAACCAAATCTGATGTAAGTACATTTTTATGTATACATAAAGATCTACTTTATTAGAAAAGTTAATAAGCCTCATTCTATATATTACAAGATTTTCTTTTCATTATTGAGTTTCAAGATATAATTCACTTGTTATAATGAAACAATGGTTCTTTACCCTGGGTGCATAAAAAATTATCAGAATTGAAATAAAAGAGGAATCACTTAGTACTTCATTCATCAGAGATCTTGGTGGATCAATAGATAGAATGAATTTTTTTTTTTTTTTTTTGCAGGTGATTCTAATGTACTATGGATGATAGGATTACTACTGCCTTAGGGCGTTGGTTTTTAAATAACATTTAACATTTGGGTTGGGGTTAGAGAGCAACCCCTGCCTTTATTTAACTCATCCCTTTCACTGAAAGTTTTATGGCAGAAATTTAAACCATCCTGTATTAAAAAAGAAGGAAAAGAAACCCTACTCACTAAAGTATCTTACTGTTGCCATAGCTTGCACTTTAGTACTTGTTTTTATTTTACCTAAGAAAGCAATTTGTTGAAGGAAGTAGCTCTTTTGCTAATTGAAATTTTGCAGAATAGTAATACTAGGGGATGGAGTACAGTTCCCTGTGTACTTAATTTTTTTTTTCCCCTGAAAGTGCTCTAAGGGAGAGAGCCCTGATTATTTATAATGCCTAAGAGTTATGCTGTAGGTTAAAAAGGACAAGGCATTTAGTAGGCAGGTCAAGAAAACTCTTTGTCAAATAGATGTACTTTCCCACAGTATTCTTTTGTTTCTGAATTGAAAATTCTTCATGTTTTCTACTCTGAAAAATTAGCCATAATGGAAAGTTTTCTAAGCCAAAACTAATTACTTATTACCTGCATTTAAAAATAGCTGGTATTGGTATTATGAAAAAAAATGTTGACACTTTAGTGGTCTACTGAAACTCTGAGACTAGTTTCAAGCTGTTTTTAACTTGATAAGTTATAAAATTAAACAATGATTGATTGTTTACGTGCAATTTGCTACATGAGTTCAATGAGTAGTACTTTATTTGAAATGTCTGTTTTTTGAACTGGTTAATATATATACAGAAATATATTTTTATCTGCCTGTTTTGCTTTTGGAATGCAAATGTATGATTTATAAATCATTTATGTTTTAGCTGGTATTCTTTTTCTGTTGTTTTATTATTACTATTATTTTATTTTTTAGTGATTCACCTTTGCCAGTCTCATCCCGTGTCTGCTTTGTTAAGTTCCATGATCCGGACTCAGCAGTTGTGGCACAGCATCTGACAAACACTGTATTCGTTGACAGAGCTTTGATAGTCGTACCATATGCAGAAGGTTTGTGCTTTGTTTATCTGTGTGGGCATCCTATGATGACCATCTACCTCAGTATAGTTTTAGAGTGAGTGTTAGTAGCATGTTAAAAATCTAAGCTATTAACATTTTGAAACCCTTGTTATACTGCAGCCCATATTTTTACTTGTTGATTTTTTTAATTCTAAAAATTAGAAATCAGATCTGTTTTTATAAAATAAACATTTTTAAGTTCATTAAAACCATGCTCCTAATTTATAATTCCTTAAGATACATCTACTTAGGTAATTTAATGTTCAGTTTTCTGAAAAAGCCCAAAAGGTGAATGGTTCGCTCCATGCACATTTACACAGAAACCTTCAAATAAATGCATGATATCATTTCTATTTTGAATAAATGATTAGGTTATTTTTATTTCCTTAGTGCTTCCTCTCACTGATAACTTTTAAAATATATCCCACAGTGAATTCCAGTATACCAAGGGTTGCAATGATTTTGATTTGTATGAAAGTTCAAGATTTCCTATAGCTTAGGTGCCAGATGGGCACTGGGTATTTTGTTTTTATGCCAGATTTTCTTGTTCATTCTTGCTATATTTTCTAGAATATCTCTAAATAATAAATTCTTCTCTCTGTTATTTGTGTGTGTGATTTTTGTAGTGGAGAAGGCAAATGCAAAACTCTTCCAGATGACTGAAAAACAGTGGGTCCTCTGCAGCTACAGGGGATTCTAGACATTAACTAAAGGCCAGCAAGCACTCAAGTCCCCCAAGTGTTTTCCTGGTGTAACCATTTGTTAACTACATTTTCTCTCTTTTTACATTTTAGGCTGTTTTAAGTAATTTGACAGAAAAATAATGAGCAGGGTTTTTGGATCTAAAAAAGCCACTGTGACAAGACGGCACTATTTTATTTCCAATTTGTAAAATTTTCTAAGGCGTATTTTATAATTAGTTTGTTCCCAATGTACTGTTAGTTTATTTGCTTTTTGGTAACTATAAATTTTGATCAAAGAAATTGCTGAAATATAAAATTACTGGATTTTAAGTTAATAATTCAACATATATGCTGACCAGAATTTAAATGCTTTCCCTTTTTCCTTAATGAACTGGTCAGTGGAAGCAGAATCTTGATATTGTTAACTTTAGATGCTATTTCAGATCTTTGAATATCAATGTGAACATTTACACCATACCTTGTAAAAGTTGTGAAATGTCTAGTCCTTAAAACTTAGAAAAATTGCCTCTGTGGTTTTCTAAAGAAATTAAATTGCATTCATAGATGGGTTAAAGGCATGCTGTATTATAGTACATCTATCTCGGTGATATTAAAGTGTGTGAGCCCAATTTTAAGATTTTAAAATATATATGCTGATAAACCATTGATTTAGTGTGTTTTGATTAAGCAGTTTCTTTTATATCAGTGTACCTATTGTAGGATGAAACTTATCACCAAGAGAAGAGTTACAGAATTCAAATTTAGGATAAGTAAAATATAGATGATAGTTTTTGGAACAAGGGTCAAATAATGTGAGTAATGTGCAAAACGTTAGTTAGTCTTTAAAGAATTCTTATTGGCTAAGTATTAAGTCCGGAACATGATACAGTATATCATATAACTGGCTTTTATAAATATTTTTAGACCATGATAATTTTTCTGGATTTGTTTTGAAAGTGAAATATTTAGGAGTGTATATAGAATTACAGAAAAACTTAGCTCCAGAATCTGTTTTGTGGTATATTTAACTACTGGTATGGTATGCTGTATTAATGTTATTTTCACTAAATAACTGATGTACTCAATCCCTTTGTCACCATTCACTGTAGTTTAGCTCTTACATGTTGGTGTTGGCTCTTGGTCAGTGTTTTAGAACAATATAGACACAAAGTCTACGGTAAGGAATAGTCTTTATTGGTAAAATTGAGATAGCCAGATTTAGAAGAAACTCTTAATGGATTTGGGGGTTATTTAGGTTCCTTGGTTAATGTTTGTTTCTTTTGTCTGTTTCTTTTTCTTTCATTTCTACACATTCATGCAGTATTTCATGGTTCTATCAAAGCAGCAGTAAAAAAAATTCTCTTGACGCATGAAAATTAACTGGTGAGGGGCCTCATTGCTATTTTTAAATTGTAGTTTTATTTTTAAATAGTCTTTTTTAAATCAGAGGATCAGATGCATGACTTTTTTTTAATGGATGCAGATCTTCTATCAGGTGTCTCACAATTAATTCAAGAGGATTTAGTGTGCCAGAATGTTGCAAATGCACTAATTTGAGTAAGATGTTGGTATTTAATATTATCCTCTTGAGACATAATTTTGCATGCAAGATTATCCCATAATCTTTGTAGGTTTGTTAATATTGATGCATTAATGCCCTATATCTAAATGATCTTCTCCCTCCCCCTCCCTCCATAACTCTTGGTATCTAAATTGATGACAGCTCTGACACAAGCAAGATAACAGTGCTGTGTAGTATACATTTGTTTATATTATCGGCACTTCTCAGTATAGGTGGAAGGAACCATTACCTTTATTTAACAGTGGTTTTTCTTTTTTGTTGTTGTGTTTTACAGTTCTTTTCCCTGGTTCAGCCTGAACTATATACCAGGCCCTGCTGAAAATACCACCCAACAGTTTTCTTCTGCAGCTTATCCAGTTTCTCTTAAGTGCCCTGTACATATTGTATGTTTTATGATGAGATGCAGTTTCTTAATATGTATTACAGAAATACTACTGGTATTTGCAAATATGTAGTTTAATTGTATTATTGAACTCTCATTTTGGGGGCTTGGGCACATTAACAGATTAATCTACCTGTATAGGGCTTTTGCTGTTGGATAGAATTTAAATTGTCTGCATAAATATTTGTCTTAGGACCCTTAGATTTTATCTGAATACACAGATTAGGCTTTAAAAACATATATGTCGTTTTTGGCTTTAGGAGTTTGGCTAAGTTAGCTTTTGAACTGACACTATATAGCAGCATTTTTCGGTATGGTTAGCATGGCACATGTTGGAACAGAAAACATTTTACTGTACAGGTAAGGAATGTGCCATGTTGTTTTACCTATTTTCTCCCTCTCACTCCCACACACACATCCTGTGTGTATTCAGAAACCTTCAGAAACATTCGTTTTCAAGAGTCAGCAAAAGCCCTACGCTTGATTCCAACAGAATATTTCCTTTACATACTTTTCTTCTCTTAATTTTTACAAAATTTGTATGGTAGGTGTAAAAGAAAATCATAGTAACTGTACCATATTATTAACCCCTAAATCAAACTTTTTTTGTCTTGTGTATCTTGATTTTTCTGTGTGCTTTATAGTGAAGCAGCCGACACGAGTCGTTGTTCATAAAACAGCTTTTGAAAGTTGAGAGCACACCCCTGGAGAACCGACTGTGCTTGCTTACGTTTGGTTCATGACTTAAAAATCGAGTACAGGTGATGAAATCTTGGCAGTGTTAACAAAAAAGTAGTGTGTATTGTGCTATTTTTTTTTACTCTAGAAACTTAACCATTTGTAGAGAAAAAGGAAACAAATTTTCACACATTGAAGTTTCATTCTCACATAAAGTTAATGATAAATAATCATAGAAATCAAGCTTTATATTTTAGCGAACATAAGTACTTTCAACAAACTCAGGTGGTGTATCAGGGAGACATTTTCTGGGTGTTTTTGTGTGTTTTCTGTCTTGCAAAAGGGTGTGTTCTAACTAACGCAAGGATGTTTCTCTGCAGGAGTTATTCCTGATGAGACTAAGGCTTTGTCTCTGTTGGCACCAGCTAATGCAGTGGCAGGTCTTCTGCCTGGTGGTGGACTCCTGCCTACTCCTAACCCACTTACCCAGGTACTAGTTCTTTTGAATTCTTAAAGCATGGAAAGGAACTCAGAATTGTGGATAAAGCTAAATGTATTTGAACTTTTTAAGTGCTGTTGTGATTCTAATTTACCGAATGGTAGATAGCATATGCATACATTATTGTAAAAGGCTGTATCACAATCATAAATACTAAAGAGAATCTCTTGGAAGTTTACATTTTAAGAACATTTTGAAGACCATAAATATCTTGTATATTGGTTTTGCCACTGACTCGAAATAACCCAGTATAACTGGTGGGAGGAAAGCTCATGGAGCATAAGACTTCTGTTGAATATGCTGTTGAAAATGGTATGTTCATTTGGACCAGGAAAGAAAATGAAGTTGAATTTCAGATTTCTTTCTTTTTTGCCAATGCCTTTTGATGTTTTGCTCTTTCTTGGGGTTTGAATTAAGTAGGTGGCTTGAAATAAAGATGAAGTCTTCATGGAGATGTTTGATATGGGGAAGATGAAATACTCAAGTTGGAGAAAATGTTACTGGGTAATGTTTATAACCCCAACAACACTGAAAAGCATACCATTTTAGAATTAAAAGATTTGTTATATAACATGTATTGTAACCACTCAAAAAGATTGTAACTGCTTAGTGGTTTCGCAGATAAAGTGAATTATGAGCCTGAACTAGAACTACGTAACAACATTCTATTAAATTATTTTGTCTAAATAGTTCAATTAATGTTAAGTGAATTGTGGTATCTTTGAGACTGAGATCGAAAATTCCAAGATTTTTAAGTATGACTGTCACTTAACCCCCATTTTTACTTATAAACCAAGGATGTGGTTATTTTGTAGATAACTTTGATATATCAACTTGTATAAAAACTAAGATGCCATTTTTATATAGCTACTCAGTAAACAACTAAAGAAAGTTTGGTACCTTATATTTATTAAAAATAAAATTTTAGTATAGTGCTTATAGAGATCAAACTGCCTCCAAAGTTACAGGATTTTGCATGATTTGTGTCTTGATTAATTAGAATTATTTTAGGCGGAAGCAAAACCACACAGTAATTTGAACAGGGAAAGTTTAAGGAATTACTAACTAGTAACAGCAGATTACTAGGGGGAATTCCAGGAAATACAGGAATTGCAGACATAGAAAGCAACCATCACTTCCAGAGCTGAGGAAGAACACAAGAAAGAAACCCATTTAAATGAGATTAAGTTCCAGACCTTGTTCAAAAAAGGTGGATAGTAGAGAAGTTTTCTGAGGTGCCACAGAACTTGCTAGGAAGCCCGCCCAAGAAGATGTCTCTAGAACTTAATAAGAGGTAAAGGCCACTGGGTATCCCGCATTGGCACTATAGTAACAATCAGAAAGGGGACCTAGGAACCAAGAAGAGAAACCCTTTTCGTAGTCAGTGTCATTTCAGCTCCTCCTACAAGTAAAGCTTAACATCACGCCAGATGTCGAAGAAATGCTTATGAGAGAGCTCTTCCGTATCGCAGAGCAAGACAAAGAACTGGATTTGGATCTGGGAAGCAATAATTTATAATTGGCACAAGAATATGTTGAAAATTTTTGTATCTTTTTATAAATTCTCATTTTAAGGTTAAATGTGCTGTAATGACAAGTGAAAAATGAGGCTATTGTATATAGCAGGGGTGAGCAAACTAAAGCCCTCGGGCCAAACCACCTATTTTATTTTTATTGGAACACTGCTATGCCCATTTGTTTATGCTTGTTTTCAAGCTACAGTGGCATAGTTGAGTAGTTGCAACAGAGTCCACGTAGCCTACAGACTTTAAATGCATTGTTTGGCCCTTTAAAGCAGGAGTCCCTAACCTCTAGACCACGGACCAGTACCAGTCCGTGGCCTGTTAAGAACTGGGCCGCACAGCAGGAGGTGAGGGGCAGGCAAGCCAGTGAAGCTGTATCTGTATTTGCAGCCGCTCCCCATTGCTAGCATCACCACCTCAACTCCACTTCAGATCATTAGGCATTAAAGATTCTCATAAGAGCACCAGTCTCTGGTGCCAGAAAGGTTGGAGACTGCTGCTTTAGAGGGAAAAGCAATGATATTTTAAATAAACAAATTTTGGAATTCACAGATTGGCGCTGTTCCGTTGGCTGCTTTGGGAGCTCCTACTCTCGATCCTGCCCTTGCTGCACTTGGGCTTCCTGGAGCAAACTTGAACTCTCAGGTATAACTTAATACCCTTCAACTTTGAGCTCATTTTTATAGTTAAAGAATTTATTTTATTCATTAACTAACTTTGCATTTCAAGAGCAGGAGATAACTCATTTCTACAGTGTAGTATTTTTTTCTTATATAAATTTGTTAAAGACATTTCAGAGGTCATTTTATTATTAGCCTCTTGCTTGCTCATTAAAAAATTTCTCACATAGTTGAATGTAGAGCGTAGTTGCACAGGAAGTTAACACGTAAGTATGGTATGGAATCAGAGTAAACAGTCATGAAAGGATGGCGCAGTGTGAGTTCATGATTTGTTTTCCTTTCATTTACTCACTTGGAAATTTGTTTTGTTTCATTGTAATTTGGCTAAACTTTTTCCCGAAGTCCTTTGTTGAAATCTTTTGATTTAGTTTACTGGCTAAGCATTTTAAGTTTCATTTTACATGTTTCTTTAAAGCATTACTGTTCCTTTAAAGTCTTAAAATAAGTAGGATATAATTGTTCTGTAAAATCTAGACTGCTCAGCTTTATTATTTTCATACTTAGTTTGCTAAAACTCCTGGATATACAGAATGATAGCCACTAATATCACTTGTTTCTTTCTTAATTTTCTTTAATGTAGCTGCTAGAAAACGTAATATATCTTTGGCTGACATTATATTGCTTTTGGTCATCATCGTGCCTAGAATATGTTCCTTTTTGTAGATTTGCCAGATTGTCCTAGGATATTTCAGTGTCCTGAAAATTAAAATAGCAATCATTGTTTTATGTATTCTCACTGTTATATTTTTTGTTTTGCAGTCTCTTGCTGCAGATCAGTTGCTGAAGCTTATGAGTACTGTTGATCCCAAGTAAGGATTTGTTCTGTGTCTCCATTGGTGATATAGGCATAGTTAGTATATGAATATCTAGAGAACAGTTATTTTGTAGATAGCTAAAAAGAAATCAAGTTCAAGGCATAAAATTTGATTTTCTTGAAACAAGGAAAAAAATCAGTGATATGCCCATCTATAAAAGGTTTTGGTGTAATTTGAGTCTTTGCAAAGTAATTATAAAAAAACATACCAGGAGACAGGAGTTAGTTGATTCATTTAAACTACATATGTTGAATACCTACTATAAACTTGTATCTTTTTAGCATATACTCTAGTCAGGAAGGGAGACATTTAAATATAGTAAAGTGTGTGCATCCAACTAGGGGAAGTACAGAGGTGTCATGGAAACTTATAACAAGGAGAACTTAGTATGAAGATCAGAGAAGCTGAACCCTAGGTGATGACGAGGAGGGGAACAGAAGTGAAAGACACTATCCTAGAGGAAAGGAGGAGCATATATCACAATGGGATGACTTCTTTGAGGTGCTTTGAAAAGTTCTCATGTTGAAACTTACATTTCCTCCTTGGTGTGTATATATAATAGTCATGAGGTATTATAATTGGTAATTCCTTGGTATTTGAAATTTGAACTGAATCCTTTTTCATTGGTGAAAGTCACTATAAGTGGAAGATCATGGGAAGAGGGAGGACAGAATCATTTGACTATAATAATTAGTGGACTTTTTTTTTAAATTATCAGCTAAAATCTAACCATATACATATCACCCAGCTTATAAAATAAAATATCAGTACAGTTAATTCTCTGTGTACCCATTTTAGTCTACATTTCTCCCCACAAATAACTACTATCCTTAATTTGGTGTCTTAATTTTTTTCACATCTATAAAACCCTAAAGACGGCGTATCTTTTAGTCTTTCTAGTCAGGAATTTCCTGAGTAACTTCTGTGTGCCAATGGCCTCTGCCTCATTTTCCTCCCATCTGTAAACTTAAAGCTCTTTCTCAACAGAATGATGATGTAGAAGGTTTTTAAATCGTGAAGGAAAACTCTCTTAATCAAAAATCTTTAGCATTATTATATTCACATGTACTAGCATTTCTCAAAATGTGTTTATAGAAAGTTAATGGATGTTCAGCAAAATTTAATAGGTATATATCTTATTTCATGTAGTCGAGTCTAAAATGCAGATGCCATTGTAAATATTAAAAAGGTATTGTACTATAAATGGCTTTACCAAAATAATGGAATCTTCCCCCTTTTAAAGGAATATCTTACTGAAATGATGTTATATGAAACATTTATATATTGAAATGCTGTTACACACTTTTAAATATTTCAGACTTCAATTCTTGGTTCTGTTTCAGGTTGAATCATGTAGCTGCCGGTCTTGTTTCACCAAGTCTGAAATCAGATACTTCTAGTAAAGAAATAGAGGAAGCCATGAAGAGAGTACGAGAAGCACAGTCCTTAATTTCTGCTGCCATAGAACCAGGTAAAATAGGTTTATACACTTGTGTTGAATCTTGAACTATATGTTGGCAAAACTGATTGCGTAAGTTTGGAAATTTGTTGACTAATACTCTAATAATGTTTTAATTCTCCAAATCTGATAAAATTCTTGTAGTGGAGTGATTTTCAGTGTAGGGATCTCGGAGGTGAGTGGGGAGTTGTCACCAAACATCCGGAAATATCTGGAGACACCTAGTTGTAATGCTGGTACCAATGTATCTAGCAGGTACAAGGCCACAGACATTGCTAAACATCCTTCAACATATAGGACAGGCACCCTCCCCTCCCTTCCAAACACAACGATCGTTCCAAATTGTTAGTAGTGCCTAGGATTATCTAAACTTTGAAGTGATATTTTCGTTGTTTTTAATTAATGGTTTTTGGGTTTTTAATTATTTATGATTGCCTATGTCTGAATAGCCTAATGAATTTTAGTCTTTTATTTGACCAAGAGTACCTCGAGAAGATGCTCCTGTCTTTGCCATTTATTTAAAGAAAAACAAATATCTTACTCTTTGCAGATTGTATTTTTGAGATGGAATGGATGGTTTTATTGTCTGCCTGTATACATTTGGATCTTTGGTCCTGGATTTTTTTTCCCATTAAGTAACGTTTTATTCGTTTTTCATTGTTACTTGTTAGTATATGAGAAGATTTTTAGTAGGCATAGTATTAGGAATGTAATTTTAAAGTATAATGTTCAGTAAACTAATTGCTTTATGTATATTATCTCACTTAATAACAAAATATTAATTAGCCCAAGGTCATATGGCACGCAGTAGGAGCTTTTAAATACACAGCTGAATCTGTGTGACTCCAAACTTAGAACACCATGTAGTAACTGTTTTCTGTTTTCATTGCAAACTCATAACTGGAATGACTAAAAGTGGTTTATGAATTTTTTTTTCTCCGAGATTTTTTTTTGTTAGTGTATTACTAATAATGACATTAACAATAAATTGAATCTTATTAATGAAATGATCTAAATGTGAAAAAGGAATTCACTCTCACTTTGATGATCGTCCATAGGTGCAATGGCTTTAATTCTCTTGTGTAGTCCTAAGTTAAAGAAATTTCTTATGTGTAATTTAAAAATTAGGAAATTGGGACAAATTGTTCTAGATCTATCTCCTACACTTACACAATTGAAAATTGGTGAGGAGAGACAAACAGATCCAAGAGGGCTAGCTTACTAAAATCCAGTTATGTCTCAGTATAGTGAGAACAGTGAATGAATCATGACTTTCTGGATTTCAAAGCCAAATATTGAGCCTACTTACCAACCATTTTGACATAAATATAGATGAATTTATTTAGCAAAGGAGCATAGAGCTACATGGTGAAAAAAGAAACATTTTGCTAGATCAAGAATTTAAAATGTTTATTATGAACTTACTGAATATTTTACAGTCAAGTGTTGATTGTGGAGATGCTATTAATATACAAACATGTGGAAATTAAAGTTTTAATCTGGATGAATTGTGACTATATTGGGGAGAGTATAACCTAGGAATGGAAAAAGGGACTCCTCATTTAGAAATCTCCAAAGAATAATGGATGAGAAAGATTAACCCTTTTCATAGATTGTTTTATGGACGACACTTCACAGCCTCCCAAATCTAAAAATGAAATAGTCAAAGGAACCTTTGGCTAGCTGAAAATCAAAAGTCTAACTGGGTTCTACCAAAAGCCTGGATTATTTGTATCATCACTTCAATAAGCCTCAACATTTTGATTGTGCAATGATCACTTGTACCATTTAAGGATTATACGTAAAAGCTGAAAACTAAAATAAATTCTTAGATTAACTCTTGAGTGGGAAAAATCTGTTTCTTTGATGATTTTTAAATCCAGATAAGAAAGAAGAAAAACGAAGGCACTCGAGGTCAAGGTCACGTTCTAGGAGGAGGAGGACTCCATCATCTTCTAGGCACAGGTTAGCTTGATCATTTTTGGTATTCAGTTGTACTTAACAGCGAAAAATTTCTATATGTCACATCCTTCTTAATTTGCTGCCTGTTCACCTACTAGCTCCTGTTAGCAGAGTATGTAAATGGACGAAAGGTATGAACTAAATATACTGATACTTTAAAACCAAAAAAAATCTAGGAATAGGAACCTGCTGGGACTTGAGCACTAAATTGAATTAGTACTATGGAAAGAATACTGCACTTGAAACTTTTGACTTGAATTCTAGTTCTGGCTTTTCACAGTTCCTGAGACTTAAGTTGGAAGGTCGTATAGATTACCCATCTAACGTGTGAATATTTATTTGCAAATGACAACTTGCTATTCTTTTGAGATCGTTCTTTATATAACTGGGTGAACTAATTGATAGTATCATCCTTTTATCGTACCTAGAGTAAGACTAAGTTTATTCTCTTTTTCCACAGGATATCTCTGTATAAATTTTTAAGGTTCTCTCTAGACCAGTGGCTTTCAAACTTGCTAGTATTGGGACCTCTTTATACTTAGAGAAAATATGAGAACACCAGAGTGTTTATGTTGGTTATAGCTCTTAATATAGACCATATTAAGATTTAAAATAGTCATTTGAAATAAAGATTAGTAAAGCCATTTTTGTTAATACAGCTTTGAAAAAAATCTTTAAAAAAATTAGAAGAGTGACTTTGTTTTACTTTTTTCCAAATCTCTTTAATATTTATAATAGAAGACATACAGGATTCTATATTCAACTTAACTGTGATGTACTTTGGTTACTATATATAGAAAACCACATGAACATAGTTAGAAAAGGGAAAAGTTATAATATTTCGAGATAATTAGAAATAGTAGTCTTTGATCTAACATCAAAACTTGGCAAGTGATAGTTTCTTAAAAGATGGTCGAAATAGGTAGTCCTAAACCATAAATGAACCTTACATATACTATTACATATTTAAAATCGCTCTGTTCTTCCTTACACTTTGAACAGATCTTTTTCTCAGGCATGCTTTTATAAAATTATGCATTGGTGGTTTGCAAAGTAATCAGTTCATTGTGTTATGCAACTTTTCAAATGTTGGCACATTTTGTTATATCAAAAAAGTGACATTTGGTGCTGCTACCACAGATGGCATCAGAAAACCGTTTTAAGTATTAAGAAGCTGTCAAATCATAGTGATAAGTTCAAGTTTTCTAAAATTTTCTCTTTAAAGCTTAGATTTTATCATTGTTGGCAAAATTGAATTATTTTCCTTGAAATGATAGTCTTCATTCATTTTTCAAGAAAATAGCTGCCAAATATCTAAGTTTGGACAACCATAGTCTGCTAGTTTTCCTTTCAAAAAGTAAAGGTGATGATTCATGGAAAAAGCAATCAGTTAAGCTCAAAATTCAATGACTGTCTTACTTGATACAGCCACTGAAGTTTAATAAGTATCAGAAGTATTTTATCCATACTACCATTTTATTGCATAGGATATTGCTCAAGGGACTAGCTTTAATGCTACTAATTAATAATAAAACTGCTTTAATAGTACTCAAGGGACTAGGTTTAATAAAATTAATATTTTTTATTGCTTCATCAAAGACATCCTTAGTGAAAATGATATATTTTTTTGTTTTACTGCAAATGCATACTACAAATGCCAATGAAACATACAGTATACAGTGACTAATAGGGTAGTTTAGTTGCCTCTTAACCTTGATTTATGCTTAGGAGATGCCAGCACTTATACGCCACAATTGCTTTTGCAGCATTAATGCAAGTGTCAACACGGTGCAAAAGGCAGAATGTTATTATTTTGAAAATAATTTTGACCTTATGGACCCCATAGCATTGTCAAGTCATTTCTTAGACTGTGTCTTTGTCCGTTCAGCTGCTGTAATAGAATAGACTGGGTGGCTTATAAATAGCAGATTTATTTGTCACAGTTCTGAAGACTAGGAAGCCAAAGATCAAGGTGCTGACAGATTGGTTACTGGTGGGGACCCACTTCCCTGTTTATGGTGGGTCATTTTTCAACTGTGTCCTCATGTAGTGGAATGGGCCCAAGAGGTTCTCAGATCTTTTTCAGAAGGATATTACTCCTATTACTACTCCTGTTCGTGAAAGCTGTACCCTCTTGACCCAGCCACCTTCCAAAGGCCCCACCCACCTCAAAATATATTACAGTGGGGATTAGGTTTCACATAAGAATTTTGGAAAGGACACAGACATTCAGAATATAACAAAATGTTACATAGTTGTCTGTCCTATCTGGTATATTTGTTTTTTATTTTCTGTCCCTTACCTTCCCCCAGCTTGTCTCATTCTCAAAGTCATGTCACAACTATGTTAAACCTTGAGAAGCTCCCTAATGCCTTAATAAGGTGGTAAATAACACCTAAAATGGCATTCAGGATTTTTTACTATTTACCCTAATTTTTCTTTCCACACTTGTCATTTACCACTCCAAACCAGTGAACCACAGTACTACTTGCTAGAATACATCATTTTCTTTATGCCTCCACGTTTTTGCTCATGATGTTCTTTTCTGCCTGATGCTCTTTTTCCATATCTTCACCTCCACCCGAGGAAGTCTTTTTTCTTTGTTAAAAATGCAGCTAAAATTTCACTCTTACGTGAAATGTTGGTACTTCTTAGATCTAGGACAGTGCTCTCTTAGCTCACTATCTCCTTTGGATATGGCTTTTTCTTCTGTATATATACCAAGTACATCCTAGGGCTCTAAAATTTTAATTTGAATTATTTTAATATGACCAGTGGGAAATAGTAGTGAAAACATTTATTTCCCTGAACTAAGTGTTTTTTAGACACTTGTAATAACATATCATAACAGATAATTATTATAGGTTGTAGTACCTCAAGCATCTTGGCATATAAAAATGACCATTACTTTCAGTAGGCTTTTTTATTTAATTAGATACATAATATGCTAATCCCTGATTTTCTCATTTTTTCTTTTTAAAGTTCATAGAAATAGCGTGTTAAAATGGCTCTGAAGTACATGACTCTTGAAAAATAAGTTTCTCTGGACCTTATAGTAAATAAGATCGATGCGGTACCTCCTCTTAATAGCTTTTAAAAACTATTTTATATTATTAATCACTATTTAGAAAGAAACCTGTAAGCGTGAGCTTTTGATTTTTTTCTTCATCTTTTTTATGTGTGTGCATTCGAGGTAGGAAAAAATATGTAACTCAGTTTAGCTGAAATGATTGACTTAAATTTTTCTTAAAACCAAAATCCTCAAAATATGAGTAGTACTTAATTCTAATAACATTAATTTTTGTTTTTCAGAAATTTTTTTAACTTAAGAAAATGATTCTGATATTTTATAGGGTCAGTATTTCACTCAGTATATTACTAGTACCTTTTATTGAAATCAGGCACTGTAGTAATTGCTCAAGGGTACAGTGATGAATAAGATAGATATACTTTATGGAGCTTACAGAAAGGTAGGTAAGTATTACATGAAAATTTCCGAGGATATAGACAAGTTATTGAAAGGGAATTGTTTTAGTTAATAATTTTCATATATAATCAAAACTAAGAATTGATTAAAATAAAAATTTATTGGATTTGATAAGATACTAGTGATAAATTTTGAAACAGCTATTAGAGAATGATGGCAACAGAAGTTATATTGGTACATCAGTAAGAAAGAAGGGGGTCTATATTTAATGTACATGCCTACACTATGGCATAGCACTGGACTTTCTAATTCCATTTAAATTACAAGTATTCTGTGATGTAACTGCTATTGTTTTTCTTTGCTGAATAGGCCAAAGAGGTCAAATAAAGAATGCTCTAAGTTTGCTAGCTTATAAATGAGATCGAATATAAGTCTTTTCTATTTTAAAATGTCCATCCTCTGGCACTCTGAAAGAATGAAAGCAAAAAGTTTAGACCGTATTTAAAATTTTCCCTAGAAAGAAGTTGATTTTCTAGAAGTTAAATGATTAAGTCTAAGCAAAAGATTGCAATTTGTTTTTTAATCTTAAAATAGAAGAGAATAAGACGGAAGGAGGATCAATGACACCATCAAAAGGTTAATTGTACTTAAATTCTGGAAGAAAAAAATATAGGATGGGGTGGAGTAGTGGAAGGAAGAGAGTATTTTGTCACATGATGGAAATAAATAATCGTGTAGAGAGAGCGAGGGGAATGGGAGTAAAAGGCAATTTGTACTGAATTGTATAAATCTGTAATAAGGCATGCATTGCTCTTAAATTGTAAATTAAAGAATTAAGATATTTCAGAGAATAACAAATAGAAATTGTAGAAGGGAGCCAAGTGGTTTCAATTTCTAAAATGGGACTAATAATGGTACCTACTTTATAGGCTTATCATGACTTAGTGTCTGTAAAGTGTGAAGTAAGCATGTATAAGTATTTGATAATTGATTTAACCTGCGTAGTGAGGAATCAGATACATTCTAAAATGCTGTATAATGTGGAAGATGATACAAATGAATTGGGTATTTTGTTTGTTTGGTTTGTTTTTTGTTTTGTTTTCCTCTAGCAGTATTTTTAAGTTTAGAGTTCTAGTTTCTGTGGGCATAGAAGGATTAATTTGATAGGTTGATCAAAAGGTGTTACATATTTATAGGGTGTCAAAAATGTTTATTGTATAAACTAAATAAATGATGGCAGCAAGTGGCAGGAAGTTACCCCTATGTATTGATGGTTAGCTCATATATCTGAGCCTTTTCTCTGATACTAGATGAAATAGTCGCAAACAGAACTAATCTTTTTACATGTTACATATGTGTTGGTTTTCTTTTGCTTTATTAGGCGGTCAAGAAGCAGATCGAGAAGGAGATCACATTCTAAGTCAAGGAGTAGGCGACGATCCAAAAGTCCAAGACGGAGAAGATCTCATTCCAGAGAAAGAGGTAGAAGGTCAAGGAGCACATCAAAAACCAGGTATAGTAAACTTACTAACATTGGGTGGGAAGACAAATTTTAGAGTTCTCAAGACCCCAAGTACTGTGCTCCTTAAATGACTAAAGAGGTATGGTAATGGGAGATAGGCCTAAAGTTCGATGAGGCTGATACTTGCTTTCTTGTGTTTCTTTGTAAATTTGAGATTTCTACTTAGAGCCGAAGGCCTAGGTAATATTTCTTTGCAGTAAAAATTCTTAATTGTCTTTCATTTTCTTCTTTCCACTCAACCACTGCTTAAGATTTAGTGCTACCAGAATTTCCTCATGGTATGCCAAAGAGTTTATGGCAGACAGCCATGTTTTAATTCATCTTTACATATCTCATCATCAACACTTTTTAAATATTTATTAAGATTTGCTATATGCCAGAGATTGAATTATGCTTCAAGAGGCTTTTATCCCATGATTTGGGACCAGTGGATAGTTAAAGTGAGGGTTCATTAAAAAACAAATATCCCCACCATAACATTTTAAACATGCATTTAGAAATTTTTTTTTTTATTTAAGGACAAACCTTTTAAATTAGTATGCCTCATCTTGAGAAAAGCATACTAAATCTGTTTTTTCATTTGAACCATCTTTAAAGTAGAAAGAGAACTCCTGTCAGTTGAAAAGTTCCTAGATTTTGTTTTTTTATGATTGTCACGCAGTTTCAGAACACATTTTTTTTTTAGCAGCTGTTCTTTATCTCTTTATGAAATCTGAGTTAATTTTCTGGAAGCAGCTCTTTATACTACTTTATCCATTTATATATTTAATTATGTATTTAAAATATAGAACAGCAGGAGGCCAACGAAATTTATTCTTGGAAATAAAGCATATAACTCAGAGGTTCTGGGATACCTTTACTGAGTGATCAACCTGTAACAAGGCTTTGAGTCATGTTTTACAGAGTGGGTCATCTGCTAATTCAGTCAAATAAGCATGCTTAATGAAGCATCTGTCACACAAAGAGGAATTAGGCATTTCTTTCCTCAAGGACCTTTCTTTGTACTAGGAGAGAGATGAAATGTAATTACAAAGGAAGGGCTCTTGCTAGCATTAACTTCTGATAGATTTGACTAGACCAATGAGGGGCATGATTTCAGGTAGAGACTATTGTTTACAGAATTAGAATGAGTTCTTGAAATAGTAAGTATTTTGGTAGGAGGACCAGGAAATAAGGTCACAAAATAACAGACAAAAGGCTTTTTTGTTCACACATAGAAGTTTGTACCTAATCCAGGAAGCAGTGGGAATGGATTGAAAAGTGATGAACAAGGAGTTAATGTTTTCAAGTTTAAAAGGATTTCTGATAATAGGATCAATTTGTAGAAAATGTGACTGGACCCCTTAAGGGACTGTTAAAGTAATGCTAAGAATTAGATGATAAAGACTTTAATGAAGAGAGAGGATAATTGATGGAGCAGGGTGACCAAAGAAAGGAGGAAATGAAATAAAGAATATAGAGTGGAGGAATTAGTTTAGAGCAACAAAAGAGATATTTTAATCTCTAAAATTATAGCATAGTTAAGGATGGACATGTACGTATGTGTTGTTTCTGAGTGAAGGGACTTCTCATTCAATGAATATATTGCTTACCCTTTGCCTAGAGTCTTGGGGAGATGGTGATGTTAGGGGGGAAAAAATTCTCTGGAAAATAAATAAAAGTAAAATTACAGAAAGCTGTGAAAAGATTTAGAGTTGGTATAGTGCTAGTACCAGTCCATTATGATGGGATATTTTTTCTAATAGCACTGAGTAGCCCGGAATCAGTAGCAGCAGGGAAAAGGGTAGAAAGTAGACTTGGTCTGTGAAAGAGGTTAACATGGGGTGTATACTTTGGAAGAATATTGATGCTTAGTTTCAGTAGTGCATTATAGGTTTTGGTCTGAGCATAGAACCATAGTGGATTTGGAAACAAATCAGCTGAGAGAAAAAAGACTGTTGAAGAGCCTAGAGTCAGTTATTATAACTATTAATGATTATGCCAAACATACCAAGAAACTGGCCAACAACGTCTTTTATTATTTACGTGCCAAATAGTCTACATTGTTCTATTGGAGGGAGGTTTTATGTAGAATAGCCAGAAAATAGGTTTATTTGTTTTTTTTACCACAAATAAGACCACTTGAGTTATTTCTGTATTTCTAATAGAATAACATTCATATTTTAAGAATGGAGTTAGATCTCACTGTGCTTTTGTTTTTATTTGTAGTGCTATATAAATTTATATTAGCTGAAACTTCTAATGTATTCATAAATTGTGTTCATTAGAGACAAAAAGAAAGAAGACAAAGAAAAGAAACGTTCCAAAACACCACCAAAAAGTTATAGCACAGCCAGACGGTCCAGAAGTGCAAGCAGGTAAGGCTTTATGAATTCTTGGAATTATTTTAAACTTTGTTTGCAAGGATATCAGTAGGCTGTGAACACTGGATATTTTCCAGTAAATTGATGTATACTTCATTGTCAACATTTCTTAAAGGCAGTTTATGAAGAATAACCTGAAGTTCATCTTTTTATTTACTTAATATTTGTGGTGTAGAATATATTTGAAATAACATGGAAATCAACTGAGATCTGTTTTTATGTTTGTTATATACATTTGTCATCTTGATTTGAATTACTATATTATAGTAAGTTATATTTAAAATATCCACATATTAATACTCAAAAGAATTTTTTCCCTGTATATAGTGACTCATTGATAAAATAATGGCAGGCAATGCAAGTTCTAATTTGTGTCTTAGATCAGTAGTTTTGTCTTTAGCCTGCCATAGTGAAAATTCAGTGTTGCAAACTTTATGCCACAGGAATATATTTTTCACACTTAACATTGGAATTTTTATGAAATTAGGGCTAGCCATGCTTAATTCCATTTTCTTCCAGTCTTGTTTACACATTTTGCTTCGATGTTTTTCTTAATCTTGATTGTTTAAATGCTAGGAGGATCATACTGTATACAAAAATGAACTCAAAATGGATGAAAGACCTAAATGTAAAACCTGAAACTCATAGAAGAAAATATAGAAGTAAATTTTCATGACCTTGGATTTGACAATGGTTTCCTAGATATGACACCGAAAGCATAAGAAAGATAAATTGGAGGTCATCAAAATTAAAAATTTCTGTTCTTTTTTATTTCAAAGAACACTGTCAAGAAAGTAAAGACAAACCAGAGTGGTAGAAAATAGCAAATTATATATCCAAAAAGGGATCAAGAATAAAGAATTGTTAGAACTCAATCATAGAAAGACAGACAACCCAGTTGAAAAATGGGCAAAGGGTCTGAATTGTCATTTCTCCAAAAAAGATATGCAGGTGTCCAATAAGCACACGAAAGGATATACAACGTTAGTTAATCAAAAAGACTCCTGATAACTAGCGTTGGTGAGCATGTGGAGAAACTGGGACTCTGTCTGTTGCTGGTGTGAATGTAAAATGGTGCAGCTGCTTTGAAAAACAATTTGCCAATTCCTTAAAAAGGTAACAGTTTTTTGACATAGTTTCACTCCTAGGGATAAACCCAAGAGAAATAAAAACATGTGCACACAGAACCTGTACGTGATAAGAAGCATTATTCATAATAACCGAAAAGTCAACCCAAATGTACATTAACTAACATGGGTACAAAATGATACATCTATACAGTGAAGTATCCAGCATTAAAAAGAAACAAAGTACTGAAACGTGTTAAAATATGGACAAGCTTTGAAAACTTGTGAGATGAAAGATGTCAGTCACAAAGGGCCACAAATTGTATGATTCCATTTATAAGAAATGGGTAGAATGAGTAAATCTATAAAGACAGAAAGTAGATCAGTGGTTGGGATGTGATAGCTAAAGGGTATGGGGTTTCTTTTCAGGGTGAGGAGTATTTTTTATAAAAGGTAAATACTGTCATCCCTGGGTAGCCATGAGGGATTGATTCCAGAACCCCTTGTGAATACCATAAGTCCCATATATTAAGCGGTGTAGAATAATGTGTACAGTCAGCCCTTTGCATCCATGGGTGGGAAACCTGCAGATACAGAGAGCCAATTATGTATAAAAAAGAAAATGAAACCAGATGTAAGTGCTCGAGATAAATGCCGAACTAGGTCTGAGGGGTAGGTTGCAAAAGGGCATAAAAGATAGGACATGCTACATGTATTTTTCTTGCCTTAATAATTGGAGGGGTTTTTTTTGGTTTGTTTGTTTGTTTTGCTTATTGCTTTATTTAATGTACTTATTCCTAAGCACCTTATCCTGCTTAACTATTGTATCTCACTCTAAGGCATTTTCTGTAAGTTTTTATTGACTACCTATTATGTATCTACAGCTGTGCTATAATCTGTCAAGAGGCATGGAAATATAATAGGTAATATTAAGCATCTCTTCCGTTTAGGGAATTTGGAGATAGGTTACACAAAGCAGTAGCAAAGAGTATGCTGTATACAATCCTGCCAAACTTAATATTTGGTGAATAAATAGTTGTGTGTAATGTTTCCAGGACCCTAGTGATGGGGGCGGAGGGGGGGTGAAGGTCATAGCTGTAAAGGTTAAAAAAAAAGAAATAAAAAGCTTCATTCCGAAACCAGATAACTAAAAATAGGGAGTTTTAATTTTGACTATTTTGTTTGTGCCTAAATCATATGGTCATCTTGCAAATCCTAGTAACTTTAGAGAATAGTAACAGAAGCAGAATATTAAAAAAAAAGAAAGCCACAATTTAAAGGGAGGACAAAAGGCTGTACATCTTAAACACTAGTTGCTCATAGCTGGGCTGGGGGGACATGGTTTGCTGAAGAAGGAATGTTACCATTAACTCTAATTTTATCTAGTGATTTGAAAGTAATGTAGCTCTATCATAGACACATCTGCTGTGATATGTCTGTATTTTAAAGTCTAGTTTGTACATTTATGGTTTTAGAGAGAGACGACGGCGAAGAAGCAGGAGTGGCACAAGATCTCCTAAAAAGCCTCGGTCTCCTAAAAGAAAACTGTCTCGCTCACCATCCCCTAGGAGGTAAGAACATTAAGGATTTCTTTTATATTTTTCAGAAGCTATCAGTCTTTGTTTTAAAAACTGTCCTAGAGTTTGTCTTTCTTTTCAGTAAAGTGCTTCTGAATGTGCCAGTATATTCCCTTTATGTCTTGAGACTGTGTTATAATAAGCACTGATGAGATTTTGGGCATTTTAGACCTATAAAACCAAGTCACAGTCTTGCCTGTGTTACTGTGCACAGCTTGTATCCAGTTTTGAAATTGGGTTTTTGCTATACTCTTTCTATCATGTGAGCTTGGGTCAAGCTCACCATCTAAACAAGTTTAAACTTAGCGCTACATTTACAGGTGAAACTTCTCAAGTGTTTCTTTAAAGCACCTTTTTTTTTAGAACATTTTACTGTCATCCTAGACATAAAAAGGAGAAGAAGAAAGATAAAGACAAAGAAAGAGGCAGAGATGAAAGAGAACGATCGACAAGCAAGAAGAAGAAAAGTAAAGATAAGGAAAAGGATCGGGAAAGAAAATCAGAGAGTGATAAAGATGTAAAAGTATGTTTACAAACTAATTTATTTTGGTATTTTGGGTGGTACTAGTACTTGTAAGAAGTTATTTTTCTGTGAAGACACTTATTTTATTATTCTCCTTGGCAAAGCAGGTTACACGGGATTACGATGAAGAGGAACAGGGGTATGACAGCGAGAAAGAGAAAAAAGAGGAGAAGAAACCAACAGAACCAGGTTCCCCTAAAACAAAAGAATGTTCTGTGGAAAAGGGAACTAGTGATTCACTAAGAGAATCCAAAGTGAATGGAGATGACCATCATGAAGAAGACATGGATATGAGTGACTGAATATTGCCTCCAGGGGAATCCAACTGTATACGTGCATCAGTGTCATTCCTTTGTGTGATTTCTTAATGCTGTATTTGTTCATCTCAAACCTAGATGTATACAGCTCTGAGTTATAAATGGTTATAAAGCTCCTGATATTGATATTAGTTATTTACCTCCAAAAGCTTTTAGAAAATGAAACATGGGTAACCAGTTCTTGACATGGTGAAATCTGATTGAGTAACCAAGCAGTTTTACTATTCTGGTGCTGCTTCATAACAAAAATGAAAAGCTGCATGCATCTACAGCAGGCATGGATTGTTTATGTTGTATGATCTCCTTTATTAAGTAAGTTCACTTAATAGTATTTCTAGAATTTGATACATTGCCGTAATAGAGCCATGTAGGGAATGCACTGATTGCATGTTAATTGTGGCAGGAATATCCTAAATGTCATTAAAATCCTCCAACATGATGGATCTACTTATGGTCTTGTTTGTTGACATGACAAAATAACATTCTTATAGTTACATCTGGAAATAAGCATTTGAAATAGATAATCCTTTAAGCCTTGTGGCTAAATTTTTGTGGCTTTTGTTTAACTTTGAAAGGTTATATATGCACTAACCTTTTTTGATGGCTAATTAGGCTTTAATTACAGAAACAAGATTTCAATTGAAACTGTCTTTGGCAGTGAGTAAATAGCATATTTTGGAGTAGAGTTGTATACTTTTTCATAAGGTGTTTGGGAATTTTTTTTTCCTGAAATAATTTATTCCACACCTACATCAGTGAAAGCTAGCTGCCTATCCTGAGTCCATCTGTAAAAGTATCTCGTCCTGATTTTCAATTTTCCACTTTTATTAATTTGTTTTAATCTCAGCGTTGGAAAAAGGGGGTAGTGCATTTTAAATCGACCTTCATATGCTTTTAAAATAAGACAAATGTACTTGATAATGTACTTTTTATTTGATCTCAAGTTGTATAAAACCAATAAATTTGTGTTACTGTTACTGCAGTAGTAATCTTACGCACACAGTGATTCCATGTTAAATGCAAAGTAGTTAGGCAACTGTTTTCTTAGTTACAGGAGTTTCAGGCTTCACTTTTGTGCAGTAAAAGCAAAAGTAGGCTACAGTCTGTGCCATGTTGATGTACAGTTTCTGAAATTGTTTTACAAGACTTTGATAATAAAACCTTTAAACTTATGTTTATGTTCTTGTAAAACTATTTGTATTTATTTACAAGCTGTTGAATGTATGACCTTTACCTCATTCATTTTACAAATCAAGTTCTTTCCTTTCAATCCACATATTTACATATAAAAAATCCACTGTAATGATTAGTTACCATCAGAATTGTCAGGTGGTTTAATTTCTATCTAAAACAGTGTTTCTTAGTGTAATTTTTTTTCTCATATCTTGGCTATAGGAATTTGGTTGAGTAAAGCAATGAACTTTACCATAAACAGATAATCTCACCTATATCTAGTAAATTTATATTTTCAGTGAAATCTGTTTTCCTTTGCTGGAATAGTATAGCAATTGTCAATGGTATGTATCCACTGTATAATACTAAATAGTATATTTATTCATTTATGAAATGAGTGTAAGGGACTGGGATTAAGAGGTAAACGAGACTTGGAATTACAGCTTTTAAATCCAAGTTTGATTATAATTTTTTTAACTTTTAAAAACATAGAGAAAAGCAGCATTGTTTTTACAGTTTGTAGTTAACTTTTTAAAGATTTTATCTAAATGAATTTTGTCTGTAGTTAAAGGAGTTCTAGTAATGGTCCTAAAAATCACTGCATTTTTAAACAGTTGAATGCAAATGATATTTGTTTAAACTTATAAAAACTTTTTTAATAGATAAAGGTTGAACCATATGCCATTTTTGTAAGTCAAAACAAGTAAAATATTGGTAGTTTCACTTGGGTAAACCTAATATTAGTTTCTTTCCTCACTTGTAATCTCTGAATACAAATATACACTAACTTTCCAAAAGGGATTAAGAAATTTTTGGCTTTAAAATAGTTTCACAGATTTAAGATGCTACAGTGAATGGAATCCATACTTAGGTTATTTTTCAGTGAACATTTTATCAAAGGTAGGGTTGCACAGGGACACAAGCCATTAACAGATGACCAGTTCAAATCAAGTGAATACTGCCTCCACACAGTTTTATTCTGTATTTAGTAGTAAATGATTAAAAAAATAAAAGTGGTTTTGCTAGAAAAATGTTTGTCCTATTTATTTGCTTAAATTCTTCAGGAGTGAGAGAGGTAGTGGCTGTGTAAGTGTAGTCATGATTTTTGGTTTAACAGCTGCGAAGACCCAGCTTTGTCACATTCATTTTCCTAACTCTTTGGCGATACCTCTTCTGCCTGGGTCAGTAAATGGTACCTGCTATTTGATTATGAAGCTTTTTAAAACTACAACAATTTAGTTTGGGCTAATATTTTAAGTAAAAGCACTAAAATAAGTTGAATATAGTTAAGACTGAGAAGTCTGTGTTGTTGCCCTTTTCATTTTTGCGAAGATGGAGTTTGGATACTAAGCTTCCTGGTAGTGATTACAGCCTACGTATAGAAGGTAAATATGTGTTATGTACTTGGGAAAAAAACAAACTGGACTTCTAGAACAGTAAAAACTAATTTTAACTTGGAATTGCATCTTAACTGAGTCAAGTTCTGGTGTGTGGGTATCATGTAACCTACACAAGCCAAAATTTCCTCTAGTAAATACCACTTTATTCAATGCTTAAGGTCTGTGCTGCTTGAAGATTGACATCTCTTAAGCTGGAATAGAGATCTGTTCCTTTTGTCTCAAATCTAGCTAATGCATCTCATCCCTGTACTATCTACAATATTTCTCTGAGTACAGAGTACATAAAGCTGTGTTTACTTTGGCTAAATATGGATATATTGGAAATGATACTGGTACTTTTAAGAACATCCAGAATGTGTCTATTCCTAAGGCTTTGTTAGTGGAATAGTTTTCTAAATGAGACCAATTCTGGAGTTGAACATTTTTTAGTCTATTTTATTATTTCATGTTGCCATTTTTATTTTATGTCCAAGTACGTTAAATTCATTTTGAAATTCTTTAGTAAAATAATCGTGAACCATGCTAATTCTTTACCAGTGGGAATAAGCTTAAGAATAGACCTAAAGTATATAGTAGATGTTACAAGGAATCTAAGAGAGTTCACAGAAAGGATCTGAAATACCTAACATTTTTTAAATGATGTCCTTAAAAATAATTGGGGAAGTGACATGCATTCTTTTCAAAACAGTCTCACTGTAAAGGTTATTTTCCCAGTGCACTGTCACTAAAATTAGTATCATGTCTTTTTAAGAGCTAGTTAGAAAAAGTGATTTGTGCTTAAGAAATTGAAGGTCCGGGGTCACAAAAAATAGAATGCTCCAATTGATGTTTACTACTATTGTTCAGTTACCTCAAGATGTAACTTTATCACCATACTAAATGTAAACTTTTCATTCACTATGAACAAGTTAAAGTTAAAAATTTGGTTAAATATCATTTTGGAAGATGAGCATCAAGTAGATTAAGAACATTTTTCTTATCAGTCATTTTTTTAATAAAAGAAGCAGAATCACTAGAGAAAAAGACTTGTTACAGGAATTTGACCTTAATTGTGGGAGCAGGTTAAGTAGTCTTTGCATGATACTGGAGATTGAAGCCCACATGCGATAAGGAGGGGAAGGCGGGTAGTTGGGGAGGTAAAAAGTTGGAACGACAGGCACAAGCTGTAACTTACAAAGATGGGCTGAAACTCAGGTCAGGTCTCGTTGCTTCTGGGTGGCATGACAGAAGCCAGAACCTTTCATCTTGAAGCTAAACACACAGCTGGCCCACAAGTCTTGAGAAGCTGAAGGAGGATCCAGGGGGAAGGTGAAGGAAGTAATTGCAGACCCTGATGCTGCCTCATCCCAAAGGGACCAAGCAGATAAGACAATGTGTACAAGCTAACAAGATTTCTACTGTTCTCCAAAACTAAGCTGCCTATTTTCATTATTTAAAGCATCCCAGCCAGTCACTGTCAGCTTTCTTTAGTGACCAAGAATGCTATCGGAGGTACAGGTAAATAATGGGTGTTTTAGTTTGTTTTTATGTTATACAAAGATTTTACTTTAGGCCTATCAGTCATTTTCACCTGCAAAAAATATGATCAAATTCAGGAATGATTGCCAAATACCTATCTAAAATCCTTAGGAAATTTTGCTTCAGTTTTTGTAAGTGCTATGGCAAAAAAAAAAAAAAAAACCCAAAAAACTAATTCTATGTACCACAGGTGCCATTATGGCTAAAAGTACTATTCTAAAAAGAGCTTATAATTTAAAAAGTTCGTCACCGGGTAGTACTGTAAAGAGGGTCACGTGATCTAAAAAGTGCAATACTACTCGAGATGACATTTTTAGATTGGCAAACATAGATATACTATTGTCCCAGATTGCTAAAATAAGATGCTTTGCAAAAGTATAAATGATGGGCTTTTAGCAAGTTTGGTTTTGCTGTCTTTACAAATGGTTTAATACTTCCTGTCCATTTATCTCAGGGGCATATTTCACTGTTAATTGGTCTTTGAAAGTTCCCATAGTTTCCAAATATATCATCTCTGGTTAGGATGCATTTTGTTAATTTTAGAAAACATGGTTAAGATACATTTTGCTGAAGTTAACAGCAGAGGCATATGATGCCCCATACTAAGCAATAATTCACTCAATTTTAATGGCTAGCATACCACATGCAGGGCTTCTAATTCACCTAGTTTTCTACTATAACTTGCTCAACCATGTCATTTGCAAATAAAAGTAACATAAATGAGCAAAAAGTACACCTGAATTCATTATGAAAATATTTACTCCAGCTCTTTTGTGGCCTTGAAACAGTATCTTTGTCTGCTGTAGACTCAGTGAAAACTAGGGAGAAATATCTAAATCATCATTCACCACCCTCCCCTAAGGTGTGAATTATAAACTACATGAATAACACTATAAAAACCCATTTCTATTATTTGAGTGGGCCTCAATAAAAGTTGTAAGAAGAAACAATCGTTTTCAGCTTCTCTTGGCTATCAGCTTCTCTGAAACGTTAATTTCCAGATAATCTGTATGTACATAGACACAATAGAGTAGCTCCTTGATGCTTCCTTTTTATGAAATCTGACAATTCTTTTTATATGACTGTCTACAGACAGGTAAGTTGTCTCTAGGAAATTGTGTGTGTTTTTTTGAAGACAAGAATCATATCTTCTGATACCATACTGGTGGCAGGAATAGTGAGCATTTCTAAATAGCTATTGAAGGTGATGATTTTATAGTCCCCTAAGTTTAAAGTTTCTTCAATCACAGATAGCAGGCATATAGAATTTTATGAACCTACATTATAAAATCTAGGTTTTCATGTGAGATTAAAATATATGGTGTTTTGATTTACTTGAAACACAGCATACAGCTTCATTAATTGGATTAAAAGGCACATTATGAAACATCTAATAATGTGAAAAAGTTTATTTGCAATAATAACTCCTTGTTTTTACCATAAGAGATACTGACATTTGCTTGTCCCTTGTGATCAGATAAAAGACATATGGAATGGATAATCTCTACTATTCTTTATGAAAGAAAAGTTAAAAAACAAAATCCCAGTGCAAAAGTTTTCAGTAGTCTTCCTACTTCCAGTGTACCCCAGCAAAATATTCACAGCTTTTAAAAAATTGATAAATCCCAAGCTGAAATTTACCGTTTTCCCCTCACTGTCTGTACTTATGAAAAAAATCTATAGTATATTACTAAAAGTATACCATATTCCCACAAAGGAAGAGAGCATAAAAGCAACAGTAACCACTGCCATTCAGTGTCTCAAGCCTCCTATAATCACTGACAAGATAATTCAACCTCTAAGTCACTTGATCTATAAGCATTCCCAAAATAACAGGGATCAACTTCTATTCAATAAACCTAGTCTGGGTTTACCAACAATTCCCACAAAATTCAACAGACCCACATAAGGTAGTAATTGGTCTTTGAATTTTTAACTTTGATTACTCTTCATTATAAAGTGTATTTAATAAAATGTCAACGTATGTAATGTAGTATGTATCAGCATGGAAGATGCAGCTTTCAAGATGTTTATTATAAAAATTTTCCTATGATTGATGCTTTGGATTTGTAAATAATCAT